CATCCCGTCCCTCAGGCGTGTCAAACACAAAATAAAAATACTGGCGTAGTGGGTTAGCCATAGCTAACAGCCAAACTCCCACCTACGCACTGATTCACCCCTCTATCAGCAGGACTCGGGGAGAAAAAATAGGAAGAACAGGAATGAGAAGGCTTTTGGGTTGAGCTAAAGACAAGGAGATTGCTTACCAATTAAAAACCAGTCTCAAATTGGGGAAAAATGATTTAATTTATTGCCAATTAAAACAAAAAAATTAATTACTCATTTAGGTAGTGGGGAACAAAAAGACAAACACTAAACCACCACCTTTCCTTTTCCGGCTTTTCCAGGCTTATCTTCACTCCTTGACTCCATACTCCTCTCCCTCACTGCTGAGTGGTGCAGAAACATAGAGGGGTGGTTTATGGTCAGTACATACCAGTTTCCCTCTGCTGCTCTTTCCTCCTTGCACCTTTCCTCTGATTTGGCATGGGCAGCAGTTCTTTCAGGAATATCCATCTGCTCCAGCACAAGTCCTCTGTAGCCTGCAGTGTGGGTATCTGCTGCTCCACCATGGAGCAACTCCTCCTTTTCCTCCTCCTGGTGTTCTCTCTGCTCTTTCTTACTCTTTTGGTTCCCTCCTCTTCCATCTGTCAGGCATTTTGTGCCCTTTCTTAAATATATTATCACGGAGGTGCCACTTGGCTGAGGGGCTCAGCTGTTCCCTGTGGTGGGTCCACTGCAGTTGCCTGGAACCAGCTGTGTCCAGCATGGGGAAACCCTGGTCTCTTCTCACAGACACCACCCCTGCAGTTGCCCCCTCCAAACCCTTGATACATACACCCAATACAACTGAGCAAATATATTCTGATTTTAGTTACGAATGTTTAATACAATATGGACAACATGCCACTCAGTTTTCTGTCACTTCATTGTGACCCAGTCTGTCACCTTGCTAACATCTGTGCAAGCTGCTTCTTTTCTGTAGTTGTCTCAACTCTGCATAGTGATACAGCACCAGTGGGGGATAGGGTACACTTGTCAACTACGTTTAGTAGAAACATTTGCATTGGTACATAGACCTTGGGAAAAGTTCTGTTGTCTAAAGAGACATCAGGTTCTTGAGTGCATGCTTAAAAGCTATTAAGAGTTGTGTTTTCTTGGAAAAAAGATGTAGGTAAGCTAGTTGTACAGAAGTATCCAGTTTTAGAACAGTAAGACATGATGTTTCCATACTTCGTATTTGGCTTCTACAGGCTTTCTGGAAGAGTAACAACATTTGGAATTCTCCTTCAATCAGTATTGGATTATTTATCCACAAGAACATCTGAAGAAGCATTCTTATGGTTTCTTTAATCTTTAGGCTGTTATCTGAGTTGCAGAATGAGGACAGCTGTCCGTATTTTTTCATTTAAGGAGTGTATTAATCTTATGGTTGATCCTGAGAACTTGTGGCTACATCTCACAGCACCCTAAAGAGAATAATTGGATTTAGATATCTAGTTCAATAAAGTAGCTTTGGTTATGGGTTTTTATTCCCTTTGGAAGAAAGAAACTTTTCAGAAGAAAATCAATAGATGAAACAGAATTGAAGAAATAACTGGTAGAAACGAAAGATAACCCCTTAGACAATTTGCGATGCATACCTCAAAACTTTGCAGTCCTGATCACATCTTTTAACAACAAATGAGGTTTTGGTTTTGGTTTTGTTTTTCATTTTCCAACTGTAAGAATAATAATGTCCCCTTTTCACCAGCTGAACTTTTCTTTTATTATCTAGCAGGCTTTAGTTATGGATGAAGAAGTATTTAGCCAGAAGGATCATGAACTGCAGATACTGCAGAATCAGATAAAGACATTACTACAGGAGAATGAAGAACAACTAGAACGTTTAAAGGAGGCTCAAGAAACACATAGATTACAGGTATTTTTCCTCTGGTACACATTACATGTATCTGTGTTGAACCATCCTTCCACTATATGAATGCATTCATTATTTCAAGACAGGTCCCTCGAGATTTTTTTGGACATAACTACCTGTCAATCTTACGGGCATTTTGTTTGAATTACAACTGTATCACTTAATGAGTTGAGTTCATCTAGTGGATGAAGCCCAATAGTGTGATTTCTGAAATCTGTGTATCAGCCTTCCTGTATAGGCTGTGTCACAGCCTTCCTGTATAACATGAAGTGAATCATTCACCCTCTCCATGCTTCCTAAAGCATAAGACACACCCCTCTTCCCAGATGTGCATTATTGCTGAGTAGTTTCAGGACAATTAATGAATTAGGATTTGAAAGGCCTTTAAAGAGTCTTAAGAATCTAAATAAGACTATAAAGATCATGTAGAATGCTTTAAATGAAAGGTTGTATAGAAACATATTTTGTTACAACTTTATTAAGAATTGGACTATTGTTCTCTTTTGACTTTATAAGACAGAATTTAATCCTAATTTTCTGAGCTTTTACTATTAGAGAAAATTGAGTGGCATAGTGGAAATACTGCTTGCCTCCTTCCTTCTCTAGATCTTCTGCTTGCTAATGAAATTATGATGGGTAGTAAGTGTATAATATTTCAAGATCGAGGAGACCGTAAATAGAATAGTTAATATTTTCCTGGTGTTGCCTGTCATGTGGATGATAGATAAATTATTATCTGACTTTTTAAAAGAGAAAAGCATAAACACAGCTAGCTAGTATTCTTCTCCTTATTCTAGTATTTCTCCTTTTTCCTTTTCTTTGCTGATGGCTTGGGGAGAGTCAATGAATGAAAGGTAAGTATACTAGTCATCATCTTTTTCTTCCCTCTGTCACTTTCTTTCTTTTCTATCACCTCTGGATAGATTGATTTTTTTTTTTTATCATCCTGTCAGCATAGTATCAATTTATTACAACTGACATAATGCTTATATAAATTCTGGATGATACAAGCTAGAGCTAATGAACAGAAGCAGTCACAGTGTAGGTAAAAGACCATGATTTTTTCAGTATGAGAGACAGGAGAGAAGCCTGAGAGCTCTCAGGCACCATTTTGGTACTTAATCTACTAAACTGCCACTTTTATTTAAAAACATATAAAATAGGTAGAATAGTGAAAAGCAAATGCTTCTGTCAAATATTTTAAGTTGTATTCGCAGGAATATGTAATTTAGTGATACATGATAGAACAAGAACTAAAGTAGCAGGTACTAGATAGATATTAAATGATTATACACATATGTATTTATATAACAGGTGTTGCACTGTGAGGTTGTATGTACAAGGGTATCAGGAACAAAGAGTCTTAAAAGGGTTATATAATTGCTTCATGGCAGATCAGTTGGCCGTTACTGCTTCCAAAATCCTAACAAATATGGTATTCATATACATAATATATTTCCTGCGACATAGGAATATTATGTATTGTGTTCCACCAAAATGTCAATTTGCAAGGCATTGTCTATGTGTGTTTGGAAGGAACTTGCAGTCTTAAGAAAAGAAGATACAAAGAGTGAATAAAAAACTATTAATCGAACTAGGAGAATGAAAAATATCTTTCATTGAATACTTGTGGTGGACTATGACAAGCTGTTCTTCAACTTTCCCGATGTTACTAGGCTAGATCCTAAAGGTACTTTGTAAAGAATTGAAAAGAATAGAGGGAGTTGAAAATGGATATAATCTTGGCCTTATGGATGAATCAGTTTAGGTGAGACAAGTAGTTTTGAACAATGTACAGAGGCTGCTGAAGGAGAAGCAGATAAGTAAGTTCTCCAAACTTGCATTACCAACAAAGTTGAGGTTGGGCAGAAGAAAAAGAAGTAGCCTGTACAAGGGATCCTGGGGTCATGTACATGTTTATGTTTATTAATACAAATAATCTTTAAAGTGGAACTGCTCAAAGAGGAAGAGGAAGCCTGTATACATGTTAATTAATTAGACTCAGACCATATGTTTCATTCGAACATTTTTGTTGAATTCCCATTTTATTTCTCCATAAACACACATATAAAGCAAGCACAGGCTGATAAGTATGTCATCTACTTCTCACAAAATGCCTTGATAAGCTAATGTAACTTACCTGGGGTAGGTCTTTCTGTACAAAAATGTGTCTAAAATTTATTGGAATTGGGGGGGGGGTGTTAAATTGATGATATGTCATAACATTTTCAGTTTGTTGCAGAATTTGCCTGTGCACTGTACAAGAATTTAGGGTCAGTGATTAATTTACAAGATTCATGACCTTTGTAAGGAATTTAGAAATGGTGAATATGATATAGAGCTCATGATCAGGAAAAGTTTTGCTTTGTTTTTTTTCCCCATGAGAATGAGAAAATGGTGGAACAGCAAATGCTTATTGATCAGCTAAAAGAAAAATTAGAGAAGTTTACAGATGTGAAAACTTTGGACTTCTCAAGTGCTTGTGGAGGTGGGCCAGCTGTTGTGGCATCTGCAAGGAGACCATACAGTGTCCCACTCACAAAGAGTCTGCTACGCTCCCTTCACCCATCTTCAGGGACTGAGACCCGACAGGTAAGGTCTATGCAATTGTTACATTTTTTTTCCTTTACTTTGTAATGGTTAAAGTTCAATAATTAGGCTTGACATGACAATTTGTGGTGGCTTTCTCAGCTGCTGTTTAGCTTCCCATTGAAGACTGAAAAATTACTTTTTAATGTCTTACAACATATGCTATACCACAATTGTCCAAAATATTCAGGTTTAAAATTACCACTTTTAAGTGATATCACCTAAGTGCTAAAGCTGCAGTCTTTTCTAGTGTTCTTCTGCGGTTTTTGAGGGTTCAGATATGAAGCATTATCAAAAATGAATGATTATTCTTACTGATAGATTGAGTATGTTGGGTAATGAGTTGCTAACAGTGCCTTCTTTCACATTTGGAGCAAGTGCTCTAAGCTCTTGCAAAACCTTTTGTTACAAAGGTATTCAGAGTTGTTATAGAAAACCTCTGTGATTTTGCTTACAAGCCCAGGTCATGACAGACTTTTAAATTGAAATACTTTTTTAATATCTGTAAAGATTTGATAAATTGTTGCAAGTTTTTTTACCCATCACTTTTTTTGTGTGCTTTTTGACAGGTGTATACCAGCCCCCCTGCCTTCTCCCTGGCCCGGTTAATGGCAGAATTCCGTGCTCGCAGCCAGATGATACTGAGCAACATAGAAGGTCAGGATAAAGTCCTTCACTGCCACCTCTCTGATCAGAGTGATGAAGAAGAAGAAAATACAGGCACCAAAAAGAAAACCTCATTTAAGTAATTTTTTTGTTATCCTTTAATTTTTGTTACAGACAAATGTATAGCAAAGCTAGTATTACTGCCTAATCTGCCATAATATGAGACCATTTGCGATGTTACTTATGTTGAATATATGGGATCAACTGTCATATTACAAAATAACTTCAATAAGGATATGCTTTTGATTTAATAAAGATTGCATAATCCTTGTTTTGGGGCCAGAAGCTACCATGAAGATTGGTGGGGGCGGGGGGAGGTGGAGAGTAGATGGGAAAGAAGTTACAAATGCTTATGTGGATTTGGGATTACTCTCTGTTAAGATCATGTACTTTACATGTAGCTTAAAGAAAGAAAATCCCTATGTGTTTGGAATGTAGCATGTTTTGCATTCTTCCTTAGGCATTCCATAAACCGAACATGGACACAAAAACAGGCTTCTCTATGTTTTTTTCCTGATCTAAGTGACGTGAAGTGTCAAGTAGACAAATCTGGTTTATCTAACAGATCTGCACTACAGACTGACACAATCACAGGTAAAATGGAAGTCATGAGAGCAAATATTTCTACAGTACCAGAATATGCAAGAATGTCTTTAGTACATGTAATTATTTTTCCCAGCAAAATACATCTATTTGATACAAATATTTTTTTGGTTAGAGTTCAATGTAGGCTTTTCAGATTCTCTTCTTCTTCCCCTTTCTGAAACAGATGTCAGTGACCTTAATGTTTAAGTAATACTTATTAGCCAGAAAGCACTTCACACACCAAAAAGCTGTTCAGATGTAAATCTTTAGTACCACTTCAATGAAAGAAAATAGATGCTATTATCTTATCAGAGATGCACTGAAGTGGTTTCAGGAATATTTTTCCTCCCACCTAGGGTCTTGAAATGCTAGTGTATACCATCCTTCATTTTCCTGTTTAGACACATGGCAGGGAAAAGACTCTTTGCGCTATTCTCTTCTTTTGATTGTTCTACTTCATATGGAAGAACTCCACACATACAATGCTCCAGAGCACGATCTTTTGGATACAGAGTGTGTTCCAGATTTTTTATCTCCATATTGCTTTGTTTTCTTTCAAGGTGAAGAGATTGACAGCCTCCAGAAAAGTCATGTTTTTAACATGCAGAAGTTAAAGCGTTCAGAATTGAGACTCACTGAGGCCGAGCAAAAAATAAGAGAACTTGCACTTAATATCAAAATGAAAGAGGAACTTATTCAGGAATTAGTAAGAACAGGTAACTGGCTACT